ATTGAACCCGGGCCGAGGAACGGCGGCGGGGATTGAACCCGGGCCGAGGAACGGCGGCGGGGATTGAACCCGGGCCGAGGAACGGCGGCGGGGATGGTCCGGGTTTATCCCGGGGTCAGGAACGGCGGCAGGGATGGTCCGGGTTTATCCCGGGGTCAGGAACGGCGGCAGGGATGGTCCGGATTCACCCCGCGGTGACAGCGCTCCTGCCTGCCTTGTCTCACCCGCAGGTTGAGATCCTTTCTACAGCTCGGAGCTCCTGCAGCTCCACCGCCGTTGCCGTGGGAGCAGGGTACACCATTCACATCTGCCACGTGTGCCCGCGCCCCATGGCAGTGACTGACCCTGGCACCAGCTCCATGCCCCGTGACACTGACATCCCGGCCCCAGCCGCTCCTCCAAACACACCCAGACTGCAGCAGGAGGAAAGGGAAAAGCGAGACCAAACAGCCAAGGGCCAGACACCAGGGCTGCCTCTCCTTCCTGAAACAAGGAAAGACGCTGCTTGGGACTGAAAGGTGCAGCTGACCTCGCTGTAGCCGAGGCTTTGGGAAGGTGGAAAAGGCAGAAGTGGCCTCCTGCCAGGGCTACTGTTCCTCTACAGCCCTGTCAGCAGTATCTGGGCACTGAATTTGGCTCACCCTCCGKTAAAGGTGGGTGGCAGAGGAGCTGCTCAGCTACGAGCCCTGAGGATCCAGAGGTATTTATTCCCTGGAGCCCTGCTGGGCTGTGACCCCAAGCCCCCAGACCGGCCTGGTGAGGTAGCCCCAGCAGGACAGGCAGTTCAGGCAGAGCCAGGGCTGGGAGAGAGAGAGAGGGGACAGAACACAGAACACTGCTGGAAACTCAGCCAGGTCACCTTTAGCCGGGATTGCTGCTTCCACGGGACTGGTGCTGTGCTGCCAGCTGCCCTCTCCAGCCCTTCTCCATCTCCTGGGAAGGGCTGGCAGGCATCTCCGCTCTCAGCCGCCAAAGCAATCCTAGAAGGCAAAGCCAAACCCTATTCCAGGCCCCAGCATGTCCTTCTCAACCTCCTGCTTCCTCAGCAGATATTTAAATACATTTTAAAGCAAGAAACAAAGCAAGAAGAATCARTGTGAAGTACCAAAAAACCTTTATTTTTTTCCCCCAAACCATAACAACATTTGACATTATATTGATTTCCTCATATATTTGTTATTTCTCTACGTTAGGAACCAGATACAGAAAATACAAACACGATCTGTTGAATCAAAGACGGCACAGCATTCCGTTAGAAAAAGAAACAAAAAAACTAGAGGAGCAAGATAAAAATGGTGAAAAATAGTCATTCCCTCCAGCCCAAACTTTCCAAGAATCATCATCAAAATAGAGCAGTGGAAGTAGCTTCTCTTTCTAAACGCACTTCTGCTTTAAGACAAAAGTTAGATTTATCTTTAGATTTTCAAAGTAAAAAAATGTTAAACTATCTTTCAAGCAATTTTGGAAGTTTGCATAGACCCATTCCCTTTCCAAAAATATCAGCCATCTCTCTATAGAATCTGATACAAATCGAGTGCGCCTCAGCCGAAGGTCACCAAGCTCAATTCACTTTCAAGAAAATAAAACACGATCTCCCCTTCCCCTCCCTCCCCCCACAAAAATATGGGCTCTACCATTATTCCATGTGTTTGAGGCAAGTCACCAGGCTCAGCCGCACCCCTCGCTCAGAGCTTCGTCCCAATTCCTTTTTGTTTCCTACGTTTCCACRGCCGCAGAGGCGCTGCGGGATCGGATGGCGCGGGGAGGGGGCTGACGGACACAGCTCTCAGAAGGGAAGCGGGGGGAATTGTGCATTCTTCAATCCCCCCCTCAGCGAGGAAGTGGCTTTTCACAAGGACAAACACCTGCGACCAGGCAGAGTTTGTAAGGAACTTGTCCCTGGGGACCGGCCTTGTCCACAGGGCTCAGTCACCAGAGCAAGAACTCAGCTAGAGACCGGGTGGGGCAGCAGGGATGGGGCAGGAGGGGTGGAGAAGGTCTGCAGCCCCCGGGTAAGGCAGCGAGGAGAGCAGGGGGAGCCCCTCACCAGGAGGGGTTTAACCGAGGTGCTCTAGCGTACCTGGAGTGAGGTTTTCCCAGAGGTTCCTGGCGGCAGTGCAGAGACCAGCTGCACTGCCACCAGCTTAAAAAGAAACAGCAATGACAAAATAAATAAAAAGTCAACCCCTCCTATTCAGATGAGAATGAAATACGTATTTCTTCAGGCCTCYGCCTGGTTTGGAACCCTCTAAAAACTGAAGCAAACGTTTAAAACGGCTTGTGAACTTCCTGCAGGGGGCAAAGTGATGTGGCAATGAGGGGGGAGAAATCACACGCCTGCTGCCCATCACTCCAAGGGTCAGGACAGCACGAGGCCCCCATTTAAAGTGCTGACCATAGAAAAGATGATGATGATGATGATGAGGGAGCAACATCCTTCTCCCCCTTTTTCCATCACAATTTCCAATTGAAACCCATCTCCTTCACGAAGCCTAACGACTAAGCCTATTCTTTTGGACACTCCGTTTTATATTGGTTTTAAAAAAAGAAAAAGTTAGTAAAAAAGTTACACTGAATTTCCTAACGTTTTGCAATGAGCTTCCACCAACTAAAGGTCCAGAAACTGGGAGAGCAGAGCCCACACGTTTTGCCTGATCCCCAGACTGGAGCAGAGAGCCAGCTCTGTTCTCCAGGGCCAGCCAGGCGTGAGCAGCCCTGCTCATCAGCATCAGAGACCCAGGGGATGCAGAGTCTTGCCAATAAAGTCCTTTTACTTGTTTAAGCCACCTCTGAATCCCCTGAGAAGGGGAACAATGTGGGGAAGAACATTCCCCCCCTCAGCCCCCCTGAAATAAAATATCAATGAAACAATAATGCAGTCAAAAAACACCAGCCTGCTGGGTTTACATAAAAAAAATCCATAAACTTCACAACAAAAAAGAAAAACCCAAAGAAAACTAGCCAGCGGTTTGGGTCTGGAAACTGATTCACTTCTTAAATGTTCAAAGTCCAACAAGGAACAGGCGGCAGCGATGCCACAAGGAAAAAAGTGCTCRCAAGACGCAGATTCCCGAGGCAGCCATGAGTGTGTGGGACCAGTGACCCCACAGCCACCATCTCAGGTGCCCACAGCTGCCCAGGGACTGCTGGGCATTGCTTGTGCTGGACGCACAGCAGGAGCTCTGTGTGGGATCTACAAATAGGAACAGACTGCTCCTTCCTCCCCCCAGGTCTGCTCTGGCTGCTCCAGCCCCAGCTGAGCTGCACCAGGCTGGATGACTGGGACTAGTTACTCACTCAAAACCAGGGGTAGGAGAGCTACAAAGCCACACAAAGACCAGGATCTGTGGAGTCAATAACATAGAGACAAGGAACAGATACCCTGTGAGACACAGTTATCAAAAATGCGAGCAGCGATGTGCCAAGCCACTGGAAAAGGAGAAGAGAAGCCAAAGACATGCCCAGGTTGGCCACAGCGATGTGATGGAGCAGGTAACGCCTCTGCCAGCCTGGGAAGAAGAGACCAGCTTTCTCAAAAGCTCAACTGCTTCTCCTCTTGCTTTGCTGGGAAGATCCTCCTCCCTCTGTCCCACTGGGGATTTCGTGACATGCCGAGCTGCCAGTGCCTCGGAGCAGCCGACTCTTGCCAATGGAGGCCAGAAGAATGCCCTGGGATCCCAACCACTCTGACACTGCCTGCTATTGTTTTTCATGGGAACAGACTCAAAGCAGCAGAAGCGAGCTGGGTTTTGGCCTCTTTCCTGGCTTATGTTTGCTCCTTTCAAGTCCTGGTTGGATCTGATTTCCCAAGGGGCTTTGCTGGTCTCTGGGGAGCAGTCTGAGCCTTGGTTCTGCATGGCCATCTAYAGAAAGGGCAGAACAGCCACTGCTGTCTGAGCCTCCTTCTGCCCTCACCCTGACCTGAGCAGACAGTCAGACCAGGCCTGGCTTTCTGGCAGGGCCCCAGGGAGAGAGAAAGACAAGCAGTTCTCTCCTTCCTGCAGACACATGGCACCCCAGGAACAGGGCAGGATGCTCAGCAGCCTGCAAGTGAGTGCCAAACCTACCCTGGCTGAATGAAGAAGAGATCACCATTAAAAAAAACCTAGCAAGTGTGAAAGAGCTTTTGTTCTAGACAGTCTCAAAAGATCCAACACTTTTCCCCTATGTTAAACCAAACCAAGGTGTTGACTATATCCCCTTTTTACCCTAATTAAAATTTAACTCCCTTTGAAGGGAAAGGGTGAAAAAGACRTATATCCTATATGTGGTCTGTCAAAAAACACAGAAAGAAACCTCTTGAAAAGAGAAACCATCAAAACAGAGTAACCAGCTGTATAGTTTTGCCACACTGCTGAGCACCCTCCCCATGCAGTATCCTTAGCTAGAAGGGTAAAAAAAAAAAAAAAAAAGATAAATCAAGGCCCTTTCATTCCTTGTTTCTCATTCTGCCAGATTCCCTTTTCCAGTAGCTCATCTGCATGCATTGTGGCCAAAGAGACCAGTTAATTTTTTTTTTTCTCCTTTAAAAAAAGATTTTACAATAACTAAGAATTTGAACAACAACGTGATCAGTTACAAGTTTTTCCTTGCTGAACAGGACACGTGTGTGCCTGTGCCTTGTGCACACACACAAGTGTCAGAGGGGAGCACATTCCCAGCCAGGTCCTGGAGTGTGGAGTCACTCTGAGGACACGGCTGCTGAGTGCTACCACAGTGCACTGGCAAAAGAGGAATGGGCACTACACAGAAATAGCTTATCAGCTGAGGGGCTCTGTACAGGAAGGGCTGCAAGCACAGCCTGCTGCCGGCCCATGGCCAGGGGCTGACCAGATCCCCGCTGGCAATTCTGCTGCCAGGAGAATCGCCAAGTGGGGGCTGAAAGGGATCGACATCTCTGCCACACACTGCAAGGAAAAGTGTCGAGCAACTGCAGAAACCAAACCCAAAGAAGAGCAATTGAAAGATCAACCAGAGAACAGTTTGAAGCCTTGTCAGAAGAGTTCACTTGCCACGGAGCAGGTCAGAACAGCTGCTGTGGCTGTTGCAGCAGCAAACASCCATTCTAGCCTTGAAGGCAGAGACAGTAGCTTCTCCCCAGCCCCAGAAGGAACCAGCTGAGGCACAGATCTCTGCTGACAAGGTAAGAAAGGCCAACCAACACCAAATCCCTTACTGGCCCAGGCCAAGAGAGGCAATCGACATCACCACCACAACAGAGAGACCACTGCAGTCAACTGCATCCAGTCTGGCCCAGGGAAGGGCTGTCAGATGMGATTCTTTCCACAGTCCAAGAAGGGCAGTTCCCTTCCTAAGCTAAAGAAACAAGAAGCAAAAAAAAAAAAGAGGCTTTGTATTCCAAACTCCAACAGGACTATTTGCTGAATCAGTCCAGCAAACACAGATTATACTCCTGGAAYAGTGAGTAGAAGCCTCCTCCAGGTAAAATCTGTAACCTCTAAAGTGCTCCTGCTAATGTTGGTTGATGAACACCCCCTTCCATGCCCAGCAGTRGAAGGGCTGCAGCAGTCAGTGGTGTGACGAGCACTCGCATTTAACCGTTCACCAACTCCCAGCTGGATTGCGGTAGTTTTCTGAAATGCACTTTTGGGAAGTGGAATTTCCTATGAGAAGATGATGTTTGGGGACGTGAGGRTAGGAAGGTGAAGTGTACACCACAGCATACCTTGTTCAGTAAAACCAYTGCCTTGGGAGGTGATGTTCCCTTGCAGAGTCAATGGAATAAAGCATCCTGCAAGTGGCCATGTCACCGTGTCCCCAACAAGCAGCTCTGGGTTTGGTTAGAATGGTTTCCCCACCCCCAGTGGTTTGAAGAGTTCACAGTGGTATAACCCAATGTTTTGAGGAGACAGAAGCTGAGAAGTCCCCTGCTGCAAGTGAATGGGTGGAATGAGGGATGCAGATGAGCAACATCCTCTGGGACTAGCCCAAGGAGAAGCCCCACAGACACCTTGTGTCTGAGCAGGAACGGGGGGAAGGCAGGCACTGGAAGGACCAGGAAGCAGAGAAGGACAATGCCAATGCAGGGAAAGTGCATGTTCTGGAGTGGTCTCGGAGTAGTTCTGCAGTGCAAACATATGGAGGGGCATGGAGAAATCCCTTCTGGAATGCTGGATGAAGAGAGGTAAAGGTTGGCATCCATGTGGCAGCRGACTGGGTAGGGGGCCTGTGTCCAGCAGCTCTACCCTGTTCTTCACATTTAGTGGGTTTCAATCACCACTGGCTCGTAAACTCCAGATGAGACCCTGGGGAGGCAGAGGGGGAGAAGATGAGGAGGGCACGTTATTTTTCACAATCATAGTCATTCAGAGCTCTCTGCTCTCAAACATCTTCCTCTAACCCCACACAAAACACTGCCAATAATGAGTCAGAATGGTGGGAAGTCAGTCCTGGGAACCCTGAGGGGACAGAGAGGTGGCAAGTCAGCAAGAGAGCACAGGAGAGAGGTGGGTGTGACACATGAACCCTTCCCAGGGGCACAGCAGAGGGGGAGTATCCTATTCTGCACAAAGAGCCAGCATGTCTGGGTTTGCTGTGCTCCCAGATTTGTTACCAACTTGACACATCTTTGTGTTACCATTATTGTTTCTTTTTGTTCAACTCAAAAGGTGCAGTAAAGCCTCAAATGCAACTGGCCAAGAGCTGCACTAAGAGCTGAAGTGGCATGAAAACGCTTTATTTCTTCAGAAGGCTTTCATGAGAGAACAAGCCCTCGATGATTATGCAAAGGCAGGGAGAGGGGACAATAAGAGGCAGGGAAAAGGGACAATAAACCCAGCTCTGCCGCAGTTTTGCTGCAGGCCAGCAGGAGGCAAAGCTCCCTCCTTCAGGAGCAAACGGGAACCAGCAGCTACCATTTTGTCCTTTCACTCCTCACTTCTGTTCCTGGGTCTAACAACCAGGATCCCATTACCCTCTGAGCTCCTGCTGAGAACTSCATTCATACTCCACTGCAGCTGCAGCCTGCCACCTAAGCGATCCCAGGTTGTTAATTCGGGAAAAAAGTTACCATGTAGTACATGATGTTTAGAACCTCTCCTGCAGCAAAAGGTGSAAGCCTCCTGGGTATAAAGCTCACTAATCTCTCTGGAGGCCCTCTGTCTGCCAGCCTTTTGGAAAGCCTACCTGTTTCCCAGCTGAATACCACTCAGCGTAGTTGTCCCATCTCTGCTCACAAACAACCTCAGGTTACTGTCTGCAGATAGAAAAGGAACACAGACATCAAAATCCAGAACTGCCGAAGCTGCCAGGACCTCCCCTCCCAGCACAGAACAAGTGTTTCTGCAGAAGCACATCAACAATTTGGTGATGTTCCCACAGTCACAGAGCCCCCTGGGAACTCCTTCCCTTGCTCCATAAGGGAGCCTCCACCACATGAAACTCTGGAAAAATAAAAGCAGAGGTATCAATTCAGTCATACTCCAGCTGCCTCTTTTTAGGCAATTCCGTTGATGCAAGTTCTTGGTCAGTTTAAACACATCTGAACAGATGACATGTGTGGCCTCACACAGCTTTTGTAGAATCACTGGAGGAGAAGCTCAGCCTGTTGTGTTGGTGAGAGGCAGCTGCATTCCATCTAGTTTTAACCCATACTGAGTGAGGTGTAAATCCCCATATGGTAAGAGTGTTACCATGTGCAACAGTTTAAGGTGACTAATGGTAAATTAACAAAGAACAGAAAACAAGCTAGGCTCGAATTAAAAAAGCTTGATTTCTATGCTAAACTGGAATACGAAAGTGAAAACAAATGCAGTTTCATTATTAGTTTTCTCCTAACAAATGCTGTGATTGCAATGGAGAAAGCCCCTTCGTAAGCTCTCAGACAGACCTGATCACCAGCACACTGTAACCCATCTTTCTGCAGAGATGTGCTGTTTCCCCTCCAGTTGTGCTCTCCTCTTTTGATAAACACCCTTGGGCTGACCCTGGCTGAAGGCCACTAGAGCAGTGCAGACAGCTGATGCAACTGATTTCCACTGCACTGAGAATCGGTACTTTTCYTCTCTCCCTGCAAGTTTGAGTTACTATTCAATCTCTGCTGTCATGTGTGGAACAGCAGCCAAGTGCTATATCTGTAAATGCATGTGCAGCTCTCACACGGTTTATCTATCACAGAAACACCCAGCMAGCACTGAAGGCAAATAGCTGTCAAAAGGGGAAGGGAGCCCATGGCAGAACAGTTCTGACTGTAAACACTTGGCAGTCTCGTGAAAAGAACAACCCAGACATCCCCTCTGAAACTCCCCCYCTCACCTTCAGTATTGCTGACATCTGTGAAGTCCTGACTCTGCATTATTTTCTCCACTATATCATCAGCATCGATCCTGGTGTCATCCACTCGTGTTGGGTGACTCTCCACTGAATCCTTTTTCCTCCTGGTGAGAGGAAATACAGGAAAAACTTACTCAGCTTTTCAAGACATGGACTTCCATATAGTGTCCTGTTCTCTTGGCCACAGTGTCCTCATCAGACAAAGGAGSAGTTCTGTCTCTCCTTCCCACAGAAAGTTCTTTGCCTCACAGTTACTCACCGGGAGGGTCTGTCCAGCAGCAGGGGTGGTCTGGGGGGGCGAGGWGGCTTCTCCAGTTTGTGCTCCCGCTCCCCCTCAGGACACTCCACGGTCATGCTGAGCCCCCCTGAGGCACTGCTGCTGGTGGAKGTGTTCCTGCGGTGGGTCAGGTCAGACATGCTGGAGGAGCGTGAGTGCTCCGTGCTGTAACCTGCCAACACACAGGGATTACAAATYACAGCTGCTCCCCTTCCTGGAGCACAGCTAACAGGCAGGGCAGCAGCACAGCAGCATTTCTGCTCCTGCATACAGAGGTTTACACATCTGTGAGCTCATCTGAACAGGAGAGTGGTACTACAGAGCAGGGTAAGAGGGATGGCTGCAAATCACTCTCACAGGAGCTCGTTGCAGGAAAGAAAAGGGCAGTGGCCAGTGCTGGCAGAGCTGTGTGGATCAATGRTTACCAGAGATCTTGGACTGCTGGCTGGCGTAGCTCGAGTTCCGCGAGTGCCCCGAGTGGAAAACTTCCTCTGGGCTGGACAGGTTCTGATCCGGCTCTTCTGGGACACCTGCCAAGGAACAACAGGACACTGCTGACACCATAAMCAAGCCAGCACATGGTGCACTGATCAGCTGAGAGTGGAGGCTGATCTTGGGGTGCCAGATCAAGGAAAGGGCAGGGCTGCTGGCASAGCCCTGCTSTACAGGCCAGTACAGGGCTTCAAAACACCCAGGGAACCGGGAAGACCGACAGTGAGCTTTGCTGTTGAGTTTATCACTAATACTATCCAGCACCTGAATTTACAAACATCTCTGGGGGCTTGCAGAATCTAGAAGGACAGGTAGTGTCTGAAACCATCCACAGTTAAAGGCATCAAAAAGTGTCAGATGGCCACTGGCAGTAAAGAATTACGACCTCTGTTTGGATGCTTCTGTTACTACCTTTCTCCTTCTACTACTTGTGAGAGAGCCTGTACCATTTAAATAATCTCTGAATTTGATAGAAACACCTCTGCAGAGCCTCTGCTCCTTTGCTATCCCTGCTTTTCTCTCTTACAAGTTTATCCAGAAGTGCACGAGTGTAACATATTTGCCAGCTTTTCAAGAACAGCACTTACACCATGTGCCCTATCACTGAGGTGATGAGACTCAAGTACTATTTTGGTGCAGTGTATCTGCCTGCACATTTGGAATGTGCTGGGAAGGAAAAAAAAGTGATGTGAAAATGCAGTGCCCTTGAAATCGGGCTCATACAGAAGCCAAAGAACTGCATCAGCAGCTGGAACAAGGCCATTAGACCTTAAACCAACCTCTAAAACCTTCAGAGGAACTTTTCTAGAAAACAACTCTGAGCAACAGAACAGCTGAGTGGAGAACAATGGTAMGTGTCACTGAAAATGGTGGAAAGCAGGAATGAGTGCAGTACATGAATTATTAAATCCCCAGGAAAAAGAACAAATTGCTTTATCTCCACTAACAGACATACACATGGCAAATATTCAACCTTCCTCTCCTCAGTTACAACTTAAATGGTTTCATTATTCTCAATATTCTTAATGAGCAATTGGATTGAGGCTGGGTGCAGGAAAACATGAAAAATTAAAGAGTATCTATGCCTGCAACTGCTGGGAAAAACAAAGGAGTGTTCAGGCACAGCCAAGCATTGCATGGGTATTCAGACCTGAGCTGAGAATGGTGGTTCTTGGCTTGGTCTGGCGCAGGGAGCCGATGGTGGAGGARCTGCTGCTGCTGGTGGTTCCCTCACCCTTGCAGGTCAGCTGCAGGGTGGAATCCTGCCCCGGGATGGTGATGGATTTGGCGGTGGAAGGAGGCCTGGAATCAGAAGGGAAGGAGGTTACAGGCTGCCAGGCAGGGAGCAGGCATTGTTCTGTCTATACCACCCTTCTTGGCAGGGGAAGCTGGCAGCCCTCTGACCAGCAGCTCAAGTGGGATTTTGGGTTTTGTTTTCCTAYGTGCAAGACTTGGGTCTTCCCTACCTTGGACTGCATTACAACAAGAATCAAGTTTCTGAGGTAAATTATGGCAAAAAGGGACTATTMATTCATTTATAGAGGACAACAGGCTCAGAGCTTGCTGTCCTCCAGGACACCATCCAGAGCTGCCCTTTCCCCCCAAAAACACATGTCCACTGGCCAGTTGGCTTCACAAACAGGAACCAGTTTGCTGTTGTCCTATTCTCAATTCCAGCTTCCTTTCCGTTTCACCTCTTTGGCCAAAATGAAACCTTTTATCCCAACAATCCTGTCCTATTAGAGCACTTGTACAATGATCAAATAACCTTTCCCTTTTTTAACTGACTATTAAACTCCTGTTCAGTGAAAYGAAAGTGCTTTTCCAGCTGTCAAAATTATTTTTTCTGGTTATTCTGTGAGCTCACAACATCCCTTTGTAAATCCTGACAGCAGGGCAGARCTGTGAGTGCCTGGAGCCCCCTCCCTTCCTCCAGAAGTGCTTTTGGGTGGAAGCCACAGCATGTGCAGCGTGGCAAAGTGAATATTCCTGTTGGAGCCCTAACCTCGCTGTAGCCCAAAGTCTGAACTGGAACTAATGGATCAAATTATGTTTTTTAAGTGAGGAGTGAGAAATAAAAACTTTTATTTGTCTCACTCTGAGCTCTGAGTGAAGCTGTTACATGAGAGGACCTTTGCAGTATTTTGGGAGACAGAATATTAAATGTGGGCAGCCCAATGGCTATAAAGCTTTCAGGAAACKCACAGCRTGCCTTCACCAGGAAAAAGCCCTCYCTAATCATGTTATCAGTGATTTGCATGCACCCAGGTGCTTTGGGGACTTCGCTTCACAGGTTTTTAAGGGTTTTACAACCTTAAGCAAGCAAACTGTTCCTGCAGCAGCTGTGGGAGCAGCCCCTGGGTCTGTCAGCTCAGCTGCTCTCCCCCTTCCAAAAACCCCAGCAGGAGAAGGTTCATGGAGTGCTGCAGAAAATCAGTGCATGGAAGAGATTTCCCAGCATAGTTTAATTCCTGCCCAACCCTCTAATGAGTGTCATTTACCAGAAGCTCTACTGATCAAGGACTATTCCACATGCAAAGCTTCTATTTTTAGATATTTGCACATCATCAACATAAAAGGGAAAAGTGAGAATGACTGCAAAAATCCTTTAAGAAAATTAGGAGGTTTGACTTTCAGACTGAACCTACTTACATTAAATGGATATTTATATCCTATTCTGTAATTCTGTGTAATTTTTAGGCACTCTAACAGTGGGACTTGCTTCCATAGCAAAGGAGTAACAGGTATTTTTGTCAGACATTATTACCAGACATCCTAGTACCCTAGATWTAAAACATCTGTTACTGCTATAAAATTATGGTTTCCCCAAACTTCATTACACTTCCTTCTGAAGCACAAATTCTTCAGAATCAGATCACATTGATTCTGGGTTTAAAAGTATAAAAAAAAATGCTGCAGCACTAGGAAAAGCCATTCACAAAACAAACCTACCAAAACTTATGCAGCATTTTTAACAAGAATTCAAGCTCATTTATACACTTCAAGCTAGCTCCTAAAATTAGACYTTTTAGTCCAGAATACAACTGCTGCAAGAGTTGGCCTCAAGGTAAAGCTTTCTTCTCTCACATTGTTGGGAGGCAACATCAAATATTCCTGCAGGGACGTGGCAGCCCTGCTGTGCTGTCACACACCTTCCAGCACACCACAGCAGGGCTGGGACTGTTATGCTGCACTGTGGTGTGAGGGAAGATGGGCCAGAATATTTCTCAGCTGATTCACCAGCAATTCTTTAATCAGCAAAACTGCTCCACAGCTTAACTGAACTTATTCTTTCCTATCATTATGCATTAAAAAAAAACCCCATGAGTCTAATTTCTCTGCTAATTAATACAAGTTGTGAGCACTGTAGAAAAAAAAAGAATTAAAATGATTCAGCCTTGAAGTATTTTTGTTGCTGTTTCAATCTGAGATCTTTATCCCCCATGATATGTGCTGAAGCGTGTCCACTTCCAAGACTGTTTTCTTTATTGACCTTTCTCCTCTTGGAGGTCAGTGAAACCAACCCCAGAGCCATGAGAAATTTTATCCTTCARGCAAAACATGAAGTTTGTCATCAAAATCTACTGGTTTCCAAAACTTGAGTTGCACCAGCAGGAAAAGTACTGTGCACAGCAATAACCAAGCAGGGAAAGCCAGAGCAGAGAAAACCAATTAACAGCATGGCTGGCTACACTTTTCTGCCTGATTCAACCGGTTTTATTGTACATCCCAGTATCAAGGGCATCTTTTTCTCTCTCTTCATCAATTTTAGTGTCTGCCCAGAAAGGGGGCACCCAGAAACTCACGTTTTGAAGCAGGGGTCCCCGGAGAGCAGAGACATTCCGATCGTGACCTGGAGAGGGGACATAAGGCACATCATTAGCCATGCTGCACTGAGCTCCTCACTGCACAACAGCCAGGAGGTCAAGGACTAGGTGTAAAGATTAGCAAGATCTAGCTCCTTTCCCAAGGAAATCAGCTTCAGGGATTTAGCAAAGTATTTCCCTCCCTGCCCCGAATCCCTGACATCAGTGACTCCAAGTGGCAGTGGCTCAGCAGGACACCAGCCTGGCCAYGCTGACAATGCACTCGTAACCTTTTCCCCCCTCCTGCTCCTGGCTTCTTTGTCAAGGGTCACTGCTTGGCCAAATCGATGCCAAATTATCAAAGAGCAGTTCTGATAGTGGGAAGCTTTCCAAGTCAGTCTAGCAGCACAAAAGCAAAATCCTATCTCTGTACATAACAGGACCTCCTCTCAGGCCTGSCAATGCACTCTGATCTTCCCAAATTGCTAAGCAGGATTTCTACTGTGGCAGTACTAGCTTCTGTACCTTTAGGATGGAGTTGTCCTGTCGAGTATTCTTAGTATCATATCCTTCCAGCAAGCAGCAACGGACAGTGGATCCAGAGCCCGCAAACTCTGCCAGGTTTAGATCAGCAAAGCCCAGCTGTAGCAAGAAAACATTGGAGGGGAAGGTGAGAGAACAGAAGTTACTCCATAAAGGGATACATGGCATCACAGACCAAAGTGAGACAGCACATTCGGGAGCAAGGGCAGAAACAGGAGCCAGGACACACAGTGGTGGCTGTGAAGACCCCTGTTCTCGAGGATGGGCAGAGCTACATTCCTAATCCCAAACCAGATGGACACTTGGAGGTCTTCAGGAAGCCAAGCCCATGTGGAGGAAGGGTGTACAGTAGTGGTGGTGGCCAGGACAGTGTTAACCAGCCTGCAGCCRTTGCATAACCAAGGACATGGAAGGCACTAGGTCAACGATGTGGAAAAAACAGAATCACACATACACAAACATAATAAGGCACTCTTTGTATCGGGCCATCCCAGAATGCAGTGGAGCATGTGAACCAGGAGATGAAAGGATATTGTTACAGGGGAAAGTGACACCATGCTGAAAAAAACAACTGAGACTTTGGGCACAGGGAGCTGGAGGCCCGGAGCCATGTGGCACTGCCTGTGCCTCACCCCTCASAGGCAGCTGCTGGGCTGGGCAGCTCCTGGAGCACTCCTATACACTGCTGAGGTTTAACTAGCAACGGGTATGTTTGACAGGCAGAAGGGAAGAGAAATATTYGGAGAGATTTAGTTGTGAGCTCTCTAAACCTCCTCTAACAAATGGGAAGCAAACAGGGAAGGTGACAAAGCTGAAGACYACAGGCATTTTCAAAGAGGGCACTGATGCCTCCAGGGTAAATACAAACACAATGAAGAGCACCTTTGTTTTCCTGCCCAAATCCCTGGTGTATCAACAGTGTTCCAAAGAAAAAGTTATGGCTTCTCTTATGCACAGMTTTAGGAGCAGAATCAGTAGTGTCTCATCTAATCTGATCAGGAGGATGTGCTGTACTCTGTATTTGGCCAAAGCATCCAGGCGTGGAGTATCTGCGTCACTTCAACAACAGGTCAGCTCCCAGGAGAGCAGGGAGCACAGGTGGAGCAGCAGCAGGTCACTGTGCTCTGCAGCACATCCCTGCTGCCCTGGTGTTGACAGCTGGATGACACAACTGAACAGGGAGCCCCAACAGTAGCACCATCCTAAGGAATTGTGGTGCTCTGTCAGCTGAGGAAGCTGATAGAGACACARCACAAAACAGTCACTGGCACAGGAACTCTGGATCCCATTGCTCCAAGCAAAAATCTAAACCGCAGTCTGCTCAAGATATATGATTGAGGGAGAAACAGCACCAAGATTAGTATGGCAGCTTCCTCCATCCCATTCTCAAAAGGGAACTTCTGATGGCAAATGAAAAAAATATGTGGGATAGAGAGGGAACCTTTTATCATCAAAAAAGGAAGGAAAAAAATAACCTAATTTYTCTCTCTTCTCACTTCTTAAGAATTTCTTTAATGAAAGTGTCTCTCCAGCCCTTGCTGCAGAAATTCCTCTGTCTCTTCTAGTTAAGGGCTATGCTGCTTGCTAATTATTCACCGATAAGGAAAAAACCAGTCAATTTTTATCTCTTAGAGATAAACAGGACAGAGGAAAGCCAAAGAGGGAGATGCAATCCATCACTGTGACAAAGACACAGCACCACCACACTAAGAGAACAACATGACACGACGGTGGTCCAGACCCAGATCCCTCTTCCTCCACCACAGCACTAAATCCTGAGAAGAGATGGACATGGGAGCACAGAGTGTGGGAGAACCCTCCAGTGACCCACATGGTGTGCTGAGGTCAGAAGCTCTTTCAGGAAGCAGACTCCCAGTATATAGAGGAAAGATCCCTTTACAAAAGGATGTTTTCAGATATAACCTTTCAGAATAGTTTCCTCAGATTTCCAGCCAGCTGATGGTGTTTCTTCCAGCTCAGGGAAAGAGTTTCTGCTTTATCAGTCCTTCCTGTCGTCTTCCGCTCTGTCACCCCTGACACTGAGGTGACATTCACGTCAAACCCGAAGGTGCACGAGTCAGTGGAAACTCTGCCTGGAGCACAAACAGCCCCAGCACCCTCAGTCCCTGCTGAAGAAGGACCAGGTACAGAGGGCATTCACGAGTTGCATCTTCCTCTACATTTGCTGCCATGATTGGAGGGAAAGTTTAAAAAGGTGGGGAYTCATGGTGTAAAATGGGAAAATAGTTGCATGGATATGCATCACAGACTTCTGCCAGAAACATTAGGAAGCCCAAATCAGTCAGTTCTGTCCTGAAGAACTGCCTAGGGCAAGACTGCAATCACCCTGTTTGGTGTGCCATCCCTCTTTTCTGAGCTGCTTCAGATCATCTTCGAGGAGAACATATCTGTCATCTTCACAGAAGAGTGAGCACGGTACCAGCCCAAGACATGACAAGTACTTGAGATTTGGTCTCCAACTCTGGGCTGGAGAAAGTCAGTCTCTTAAATGCCACTAAACACAACTGGAGACTAGCAAAAAGGAAGTAGGTTAGAGCATGACCTGAATAAGGTCTCCAGGTTAACTCCACCATGGAAACGTGCCTTCAGGCTTTCTTTAATTCTGCCTTTCCAAATCCTGTGGAAAGCTTGAGGATGGACACTGCAGAAGGCACAGGCTGATGCATTTCTATGTCTCAGAGGCACATCTCTTCCTCCAGCTATGCTGGTCTCCCTGGACAGGCAGCTCTGCAGAATGAATAATCTCCCCACAGCAGGAATTTAGTGAAAGAGAAACTGATGGCCCTAGAGACCACATCCTAATTAGCAACAAAAAAGGAACGATGTGGGCAGCCTCACTGCCTTCTTCCATCCAGCACAGGAGAACACAGGAGTGAGTACACTGCACCCTTCCCAGCCAGTTGCCTCCACGGCCTCAGAAAAGATATTGATGAGAAGGAATTCTTACATGGCTGTGCGTGACTGGAGCATCTGTTTATTAGAAACCAGCAGCAGTGACTCAWTTTCAAACAAACATGATTTTGGGCACTGTGTGAGCTCAGCTTCCAAGCCAACATTGTCTCTTGATCCAGCACAAAGAAGAGAAGGGGGCAGCCCATTGTCTGTCCCACAGTACAGGCAAGAAAATGAGGGGAAGACAAACCAAGACTAAGATCCCTGCTGATCCGTTTGGCTTTTGCCTCAGTGTCTCCTGTGCTTTGGCAGGCAGGGATTTGTGCTGTAGGCTCCTGCTTGCACTCCTGAGGCAGTGAGGTGCCTGCCCCAGCCTCAGCTGGCTGCCGTGCTCTGGAGAACAGAACTGCAGTCTGTTTCTTTATTAGAGACACACTGCCAGAAGCCAGAGAGTTCACATCTGACTCAGAACTTCCCCAAAGTTTGAGGACATGCAGATCATCTCTCCAACCCCCATCTCAATTCCACATCCAGTGCAATCTGGATCCTGTCCCAGCAAGTAGATTTTTTTTGGGAAATCTCTTAACCCAGATTTAAAYTGAGAACTTATGAGCATCTCTCCAGATTGCTCCACTCAGCAGCCACTGGTTTCTAATGGGTGTCAAGCACTAACAGGAGACAAAATCATCCTCACTCTGCTACATTTGCCCTTTCTGTGCTCTTACCTTTGAGTAGGTTTTTCCGCCCTTCAGCTCCTATATTGGGAGACAAAACAAACAGGAAAAGCAGCTATTATATGTGCTGGGGCAACAGGGGGAAAGTCATTACTCAATCCTGGAATCTGCTCTCAGGATTCACAAGCCTCTTTCTCAAGGGTTACCACCACCCTGGTCATTCCCACCCTCAAGGAGCCTTTTTGGAGAGAGAGGSTCTGTTCCAGCATATCCTGTCCCAAACAAACTTTTCTTCCCATCACAGTCCATACAATTTTTCTTGCTGCCAAAATGCAGCCAATAACTGACTGTCAGTACACCACTGGTGCTACTACCTGCCAGAAGCAAAGCTGGATGCTCACCTTACGGACAGACACTCGGCAGATGCAGGGGTCCAGGAGTCCTGTGGCAGGGTTGGCACTCATTTTACACACAAAGGTGAATTTCTTTTTCCAGCGGACACAGTTTTCCTGAACTTCCTCTCTGTGAGAATGAAAACGAGAGAATTTCAAATAAAGATACAAAGCCAGATCAAGACCAGCTGTATCTTTTTTTAATGACTGGCATTGTGGCCTGTAAAGATCCTCTGCAACACAGCTTGGTTCACCKGAAACTGTACCACACAATGGTGTTAAGTTAGCATCAAGCTTTTTACTAGTCAATACAGGTAAAATCCACTCAGCTTACAGCAATAATAATCATCTCATCAACAGAATTTGCCTTTAAAAGTCTCGCAAGCTCTCTGACATTTCCTGCTTAGCCAGTTTAGCTCATTCACCATCCGGCCTGGATGGAGCAAATCTCCGTAACTGAACTGGGCTGAAGGTTCACAGGCTTATCTCCCTYCAGCATGTCTGTTTGTACAGCCTCTGCACAGCAAACTGTGTCCTGGATGGCCTGCCCTTCCCTGCTTCTCATGCCAGGACTAAGCCAGAGAGGACAGCCAGCTTGAAGGAGGACACAAATGCACGTGGAAATGCTCCTGGTGCAGGCAGACMCTGCCTTTCAGATTATACACGGTTCAGACAGTGAAACAGTCTCAGCCAGSGAAGAGGTGGTTTGAGCTCAGAGCTTCTGAGCAGCCCATCCTGATCTCCAGAGTGAGTGGAGAAGCACAAAGCTCTGGCATAGCCTGAGCCTTCAGGTGGAAGAGAAGAAGCCTTCCTGARTGCAGGAATAGCTTCAGGTACAGCTCTGGCTTCTGCACAGCCCTCAGGGGAAGCTGGATTTCACCTTTCCAAGGAGGCTGGTTCAAAGGAGCCTGGTAACAAAGTGTGTGGATCCTTCCATGGGTCTCTGTCTTCCTGCTGAGCCTCTGCAGGACCTGATCCCTTTAGGGCTCAGAGCTTGGCACTCAGCCAGCTCAGTTCTCAAAGTAATGAGGACASAGGGAGGAAGGGAAGGCGCTGTTGACAGCTGTGAGCAAGCAWGTTGGACTCTTATCTCTCCTGCTAGCTCAGGACAAAGGGGCAAGGGCAGYTGATAAACTGTTTGCTTTAGCAGGGAAAGGGAGGTTTCCCACCATCTGACCCAGGCATGGTGCAAGCCAAAGGCATTGGTGGCAAAGGGGAGAATGATCAGCACCTCAACTCTTCCTGGGAAGGAAGTGGAAGAGGCTGTAGCTCACATTGCCATYAGGGGAACCTCAAGGTGAGCCCACCAGGACAGATCCAGGGACTCAATCCTGAGGATGGAGATCCCTGCTAGTCCTCCAAAACATTCTGTGGGACTGAATGTGCCAGCCAAGGTAGACACAGAGAACAGAAAAGGAGTAGCTGACAAACAACTGAAACCTGTAATCCTCTGTAATGCAGATAAAGGCTGATCATCCCTGTTTAAAATGATAGAGAACAGAAGCCAGCAATTCCTTCAAGGTAGAGAACTTAAATCCCTTCCAGACAGAACTCAGGCTYGCTATTGATGTCAGTAATAACTGAAACATCTAAGTGCCAAAAATACCTTTGAATCTGGATTATTAATTCAAGATGAGATCTGGTTCTCATTGCTCCACTCAACTCACCCCAGCTCTCTCTGACAGCAGAAAAAAYACTTCCAGAGGGATTAAAAAGGTTTTGCCTGTAATAAAATATTCACCATGCCAGCCAAATTAGGCAAGTTACATTTCAAATATGGGTGCCTTAAAYCTGACTCAATAATAGGCATCTTAAGGATCTAAAGGAAAGAAAAACTCAAGATATAGATGAGAAAAGAAATTCAACAAAACAAAAAAAACACCTGTGAACAAGTGCTTCAGGAACACAAGACAGGTATGGGGGGATGCAGGAAACACCAAATACACTAGCAGCATTAGTCATCTTTGAAAAGGAAATGCTTTTTTCTAGAGAGCAAGGCTAATGCTAAAGCTACTACCAACACCGGGGCTCCGAGTGAATGCTGGAATACAGCTGCAAGAGAAAGATGTTCCATCACACAGCAATACACTGCTGCACACCTTGTTCCCAGCCCTGATCAGAGCTTAACTCCTGCCAGACAGGAGCATTCACAGCACAAAGTTCCAGCTCCCAGATCCCATTGAATATGCCTGGCTCCCACAGCTGTGGGATCATCAGTGGGATCAAGAACTGCTCCTCCATGAGAGTTTCCTTACTCAGGAGCTCTTGCTGGTTTTACAATGCAGCCATGATTAAGCATCTGTTGGGTACTGYTAAGTCCAATGAAAGCTAATTACTTCAAAACGTGGCAAAAAGTACTGATAAGCAATAAAGAGCTCCATAGCTAATTTGCCTTTAGCGTAAGCTCCTCTAACGGACATTCTGYTTCTCATTAAGGATGTACGCCAGCTTTCCAGAACTGCTGTAGATACCACACAGTGCAAGGGATTAGGAAAAGGATTTGGGGGYGTTATGTTACCCACAGCACTGTGATCATGAACCTGAGCTGCAGGTGCACACATAGCTTAGGGCTTTTTCTGTCTTTGAAACAGTGTGCACAGGATAAGAAGGAGTTCATAAGACAAAATCCAGAGCTGCTTTCCAGTCACAAGTTTCCCAATAATTCAACAATAACTTTCAACCTCTTTTTTTTTTTTTTTTTTTTTTTTTTTTTTTAAGGGTGGAGGCTGGGTCTGTGTCATTAGACAAGCAAGCAACAGCTCTATTGTTTCAAAGTGAACTCTAAAAAATTAGTTCCACATTTCCAAAAGATGGCATGTGGAGAAGCAATGGGCTTTGCCTATCCACATCCCTTCAMGCTATCGTTAGGCTGGTAATTAGACAACACTAAAATAGGGACCAAAAAATAAAAAAAGAGAACTCAAGATGATGAGCAGTTTTGTATTTAGCCCTGGAATATTCTCTGATGTACAATTAGCAAGCATCATACAGAAACAAAAAAACACCCAAGAAGCGTGGTGAGGGCTGCACCGAGAGGTGTTTTCTTCCATCCTAATCACAAGGAATCTAAAAGTAAAGCAGAAACTAACAGCTTAAAACCAGAAGTGTCTAATTTTAAATTTTACTCTGTATTTGGAGAACTAGAAATAGTTCACACCAATGCCTGGTACTAGGTGCCAATTCAACGTGTCTTCAGAAGTTTTATTTTTAAAAAGCGGTCTGTATAATTTTGCAAAAAGACTCCCAGAAGGTTGAATCCCTGCCAAGCTAAGCTTTGCCCTCTTCTGACTTCAGACTTATTCAAAGCTGTGTAATTACTCTTCCAGACCGAAATATACCTCCTCGGAATAAACCAGTGCAATCCTGTGGCAGCTTTTGTGAAAAGTGGAGTTTCAGAAAGAGCCTCACGAGGTCTTCTAATCCTGGAGCTGCTCATCTGCCTCTAGATAGAGGAACAGTTTTCTGCATCCCTCATTCACCATCCTACCCCTTGAGAGAAGATTTACCAGAAAAAACAGCTGGAGGATATTTCACCATAGCATGGTGAGAATTCAAGTAATGGGAATGATGCACAGTAGGGACCCACTTCTTTACCTGCTTTTGGAGAAGCAGCAGGGAACTCAGGGAAGCCTCCAAGGCCTCTCTGGGCTCAGATCTCACACACAGCTCTGGAGACAGGCAGAAAAACACACAACAAACAGACCTCAAAGAAGAGATGTTTCCCAACTGTGATTTAGTGCCTTGGACAGATTGTTACAGAAAGCCACAAGGCTCACCCTGAATTCAAGTTGGTAAAGCAAACACTTCTAGAAGAAGGCCACGTATATGACCCATGCTATCTTGGGYTACTGTGAAACTCTCTCCCACATGAAAAACCCAGCTAATGAAACACTAGAGCAGAGATTAAAACTTCTATTTACAGACTCAGAGCTGAGTTGTGGGTATCAACCTTCCAAYATGCCACCTGCTGAAGCACTGTTGCCTTGCTGAAGCATTTAGAAAAGCAGATGTTTCACTTGTACTTTATGGCAGTTGTCACACAAAAAGGCCACAGCCTTACTGGAAGGGCTGCAGCAACAAAAAAATAGCTTTTAATGCAAAATGTTTCAGCAGAGCAGTTTCAGCAACTCACTCTGATGTTTCATGCACRGGAGCAGATGTGGGAAAACCTCAGGCTAAATGGGACAGTATAGWGATAAGCACACACAAAGAGCTTCTTATTCAGATTTCCTCCTCTTCATTATAGAGAGGGAAAGTGTAAGCTTTCCTATTTCTGATGCTCAATCCACATGCTCACTGTCCCCCCTCTGAGATGTGGATCTGTGTCAGGTCCTTCAAGCAGAACTAATCCCCCTTGCAGCAGACCTGGTCCTCTGCACCCTCCTCCCTGGCTCACACTGCAGCAGGAGCGGCAGCATCTTATCTGATAAGGTGCAGGAGAGATAGCACCATTTTAAAGAGGCTGCCAAGCCAACTCCCAGCTCAGATTCTTTTAAGTGCAATGAAAAACAGCCCTTCAAGGGGCCCTGACACACAGCAGCAGTGGGTCTTTTGGGGAGGAAGAGAACACAACCTCAGCAATGCAGGTACAATCCCCTCAACCACAGAGGAGGATTAAGAAACAAAACAAAACAAAAAAATCACATTATTTCAGCAGATTACACCTGAACGGGATCTTCTACACCATTTCTTTAYGCAGCTCTGCTTCCATCTGCAGAGACACAGTTAAAACACTCTCATCTATTCCCCAGCCCTTCCCAAGGCTGAATTAGAGCAGAATTACTGACACTCTCATCAGCTTGGCAAAGCCTGGAACAATCCTGCATTTTGCTCCAGAGAAGACAGTTACTATTTTAACCAGGTTTTCTAGTGCAAAGCTGTAGGAGAGACCTTTGGTAAGGGCAAGGAAAAAGCTCCCTGAAAAGCCTGTTTCAAAACTGACTTTCTAAGATACTCAGGAACCAGTATTCACACCCYGGCATTCACAGCACACCAAAATATATCCCATCCTACTAACACAGCAGGTCCTGTGACTAACAAGGCCTAATCACTGCCTATAAAACACAGGAATTACAAAAGTGGGTGAACATACATATGTAATACAAAGCAAGCCCTCATTTAGCCATTAGC